GAGACTTCTCAAACTTCACCGGGTTCTCCAGCCACGCATAGATGGTACTCATCATAGCCTCCATGTCCAGAGCAGTGATGACATCGTACTGCTTAAAGCCATCTTCACCAACTTCAATCTGATCTTGGGGCTTGAAGAAGTCATCCTGATGTACCACGCAACAGTTGGGCAGGTTCTTGATCAGTCTGTTGTTGAGGGTGGTTTTCCCTCCATTGGTTACACCGCCAATGCTGATGATGTACTTCATGTTTCCGTAAGTAGCCGAGAGGTCAAAACGTCAATAAAACCGGGTCAGGAGCACAGTGATCAGACGAGAAGAAGCTTAAAAAGAGAAGGTTGCAGCAGGAAACGTCAGCTACTTGATTCCTTCATGAATTGCTATAGAGAAGGTAAAACTACTGACCACACTCAGGAGCAGGAATTCCACAGCTTGTGACCATAAATGATGCAGGAGCGTTATATTCACAGTGAATTGTCTTTTTGCCACATTTTTCTTCACAGTCTTGCTTGATCTTATTCGTAGTATCGCATGATGATGTGAATTCTGTTGTGGGATCGATCAGATGTCACGAACATGCGAATGTGTGCAGTTTTCTTCAAAGCAAAAAGTAACTTCTTTGACTTATTAGATTTTTCCTTTGACTCCTTTGTGACCTGCCACATTTCTAAAATGTGTTTTTCCCCCCCTCTTAAAACAAGATATTACAGGACAGAGGCAGCATGTTTTGGGTTCTCTTTTTTTGGCTCTGTGAGTCGTCTGGATTTCCATCTCATTTGAGATTAGCTGAGAAGAGCTGTTTTGGATTAGCTGAGCTCCTCGGTCTCCCTCTGACACTCTCAGATAAGAGGGCCTGCAGTCGCTAAAACACACTAGTCAAGGGAAATGCCCTTTTTCTACATGGTTAAGACTGCTCTATTCCTCTCTTGTTGCCCAATGCTAACTCTTTGTGGAAAGGATTATTGCAACAGACTGTAGAGAGCTGTTATCATGCTGTCAAGAGACTAGTGGCTTTTTTGAGAATCACATAAGGGTTAGACCCATATACAAGGCTGACATTGGTCTGTTTATTACTGATCTAATTCTTTTCTCTCACTTGCGGTTGAGGGTGACTGAGCCTTAATCATTCATATTGTTACATCATGTGTTTTGTTCTGAGCTTTGACTCCAGTATGGAATCAAAGTAAGTCCTGCACTTATTTTAGGTTTTAGTGTTGCTTAAGAAAATAATTTTGATGAGTGATTCTTTGATACTGACGAAGCATGGAAGTAAAAGTGAAGTGAAAAAAGAAAACCCTTCCCGGAGCCAGACCTAGGAGGGAGGCTTGCTGGCAAGAGTCTGGTGGCTGATCTTTCATTCATAACTAGGTACAGCTGCTAAGAATGACATTGCAACCCTGTGGACCTATCATCTGCAGGTACATGCACTGGGATTGGATGCTTTACAAGCTAGGAGAGTGATCCCAGTGGGCCTCGCTGGCTGGGTACCAGCTACGTAAATTTGGGCTCACCAACTAAATAATAGTCCAACACCATGTGGTGTCTTACCACTCACCCACAAGCCCCCAGCTGTCTGCTGTTATAGGGCTGCACAATTAATCAAAATTTAATCTTGATCATGATTTTGGCTCTCCACAATTAAATGAGGAATATTGAGCAATCCCAAAAAGTTGCTTCTGTTCATTTGGGTGGGAGAACCATTTCATCACTGACCAGAGTGACTTCTTCTGTCATAGCTGACTGCAGGCTTCCCCAACGACTGAAACTAGCACCACTGACTAAAAGAATCAACTTTTTGGGATTTCCTGAGCTGGATGATTGAGCAATATGTGAAAATATAAAGCAAAAGCCAATTAGGTGCTCCCTAAATTAGCACTGGATCATGTGACTGGATGTGCCACTCACAATTGTCCCCAGCGGACCAAGTTTTTTGGATTGGACTGGATGAGCAAAACTACATTAAGAATATATATATACTTTGAATTTACAGCAAGTGGTGGTAAAGAAAAAAATCCTATGCATAGTGAACTAGAGATTTCATGTCAGTATATCCGTCCAGCTCACACAGCTTATGAGCCCGTTCTCACTCCCGAGGCGTAACATGCCGACGTTTTGTCACGTCCCGCGGTGTTCCCGAGGAACGCAAAAGGAGACCTTCGGCGTTCTTATGGTACGCGGCGGGTTATGGCTGAAATCCAGTGCAATGACGCTCCCGCGGGAATACGTTCCAGCCCTGTATTCCAGCCCTAAACCTAACCTTATCCCTAGCCCTAACCATAACCTTTTTCCTGATCTTAACCAAGAGTTTAATGATGTTAAATAGCGTGTTTCTAAGTGATTTGAAGAAAAAGAGCGAACATGTGTAGATTGAGTCCATACGGTTCTCATATTTCCTCATTTTTCCGAGGTCGTCATTCAGGAACGTGGTGGGTAGCCGAAAACGTAATATGTTGACGATTTGTCACCTAGCTTAAAATGTTACGCTTTGGGAGTGAGAACGTGTTGGTTATGAGACACACATGCAGGAAAATGGTCAACAACAAAAATGATGTTCCTCTCTTCTGGTTATTTTTTCAAAGTGGCAAAATCTGCACCGTGTGCAAAATGTTGCAGGGGACACAGACAGAGATCTCACAGCTGTTGAGTACTCAGCTGCAGATTTTACTAGCATTCATCTGGCAGGTACAATGATTGGAGAGGAAGCTTTTATATTATTTATCTGCAAAGCCTCATTTAAAATAAAGTAATTATCACAATGCATGCAGCGCAATATTAAGACATCATCGAATTATGTCTGTTTACAGTTAAAGAGCTATTTACATTTTCAGTTTCACAGGTCTGTGTTATTATTACTGAGTTATTTCACCTTTGTTTGACTTTGCAGTTCATTATTAAGGTTTATCATGAAGTAATACCCTGACTGGTCTTCAGGTCAGAAATTTTCATGAAAAAGGGCAACTGAAGAATGTGAATGGAGTCAGGTTAATGAAAACATTTAATAAGAGCAAATATTGTAGTCTTTGCTTATCTTTCTAAGACCCAAATCCCGGCTTGCAGTGGGAAAGGCTTTCACCTTTCATTTGTTTTCCACTCTGTGAACATTACATTGCTTTGTACTCTGGCCCTCAGTGTGCCACTGAATATAAATCACACTGTGTAAAACATAATTCTTTAAAGACGGGGACAAAGTGCCTCTCTCACCATTTTTTTCCTCCTATTAAATCAAACGCCCCAAAAAACTCTGATCTTGGTGATGGGGCATCTTCATCAGCAGCTTGTAAATGTCAGAAGCAGAGCAGCTGTCAATCACTGCTAGCGACACATTAACAGCAATGCCTTTTTGCTTGAGGCAATTATTAATATGAGGACAAGGTCTCCTGAGAGCATTACAAACAACCAAGAAAACAGTTTGTGTCTGTTTTTTGAAGTGGCAGGTATATAATAATTGTGCAGCTGAAAGCTTGGAGGAAGGAGGAAACATACCCAGCGTTTGATTATGGTAGTAGTCACAGTGTTTTGAGTCTGTCAGCTGCTGACGAGCTGTAAGCACATGCTTATTATGTGTTGCTGCTAGGGTTTTTCAGTGTTTTATTAATAAAAAGAAAAAATGAACAGTACGAAAGAATAACTTATGTGCAGTGTTGGGAAGGTTACTTTTAAAATGTATTCCA